TAGGCAGTCATCTTGTATCAGCCACCCGTCAGTGACAATTTTCGACAAAGAAGTGTCGCTGCTAAAGCAGATAATGAGCACATTAGATATGGATCGATAGCCCCGGACTTTGAAAATACAAGGGTGCGCATGGGCAGCGGGTGGCAACATTGATATATATATGTTCCTTTTCTGAATAACGCCTTAAGTTGACAGTAGTGCTGGTGTTGTTCCCTCCCTCTCTTTGTCCGTGTGTCAGAGAGCGCTGAAAATAAACTGCAATGCGCTACACAATAAAACGAAAGGCCGTAATCTGCGAATCACGCGGGAAATGCATGCCTATGTTTGACCCTTGGTGCATTTGTGCGATCTTAGGGGGGCAGAATGGTCTTTAGGACCAAAAAGTGACAAAAAAATTCATTTTTTAAAATTGACATATTTGGTTTTTTGCAAGCATTGTTCTATCTCTCTGCAAATTTTCACACACCAAGAAGTGGTAATTTTTATTGTAATGTCATTCTAACTATCCAGATTCTTGGTGCTGTTAGCATGCAGAACCTGCTAAAAAATGAAGAACAGACTTTGAAGCTTCTTTGTAATTTGCCAACACCTGTGTCAGAACCTCCACTACGAATTTACGAGCACCTATATGAGGATTGCAAAACATGCACACCGTGATTGCTGCTTCTTGAAAAAGCTGCGTGTTTTTAGTTTTTCTATTTTTCTCAAAAAAGTAAATTTACGGCTGTTATATTTTGAGGCTTCAATATCTCTGCAGCTACTGGCAGGTACAACAATTATTCTTTTTGCAATTGAAACCTGAATGTGTGTGGAATGCAAATACGTATGGGAGCAGAATTTAGAGCACAAGCCTCCTTAACTGAATACTCATCAAAATTGTAAAACAATTCTAACTGCTTTGGAAATGAATTGTTCATTTTGCTCTAAAATAACCAAGAGAGACCCAAAAACAAAAAAAAAACTTTTGTAAACTTTCAATCTATAGTCATTAGTCTATGTTGGCATATTTTAAATATCACTTTTTGATTAAGCACATTTTTTTCTATGGCGGCCTTGAACAATAGAGGGTGAACTTGAGTTATCTCAGGAACAAGATGAGTTACAGGAAAACTACTTAAATATTTGAAATCATCCGAAAAAACTGCATAACCCTGTGCAATTTGATCAAGATCACTGATGAAATAAACAAAAAGATGTCTAAGAACAGTCTGCCCACTCAAACAATATCATTTTTCTTGCTTGTTGTCGTAGATACAAGTCACCGACGTCTTTGTTTTAAATTATTTCAATTTTGTAGAAATTTATTGTGCCTATATTTATGATTCCGAAGGCCTAAAATGATGTTTTATCCTGCCTCTCTTTGGCACCTAGAACACACCTTTTTAGGGCTTAAAAATCCGGCCTCTAGTCATTGCTGCTGAAAATGGTGTATGGTGCCTCGGTGAATTTTGCTACTTACAGTGAAATATTGGTATAACGAATTTCAGGGGGCCGCAGCAATTCGTTCGTTCTTTTGAAAGGGCGTTATAGTGTAAGCCCAAAAATTAACCATAAATTCTTCTTTTCCACCGACCAAACCGACTTGACTTTACAATAGTGGGTCCTTGAACTTGTTTTTGATGAGCAAAACAAATGCACAAGTGACATCAAAAAATGCACGTTTACTTTAAATAGGTCTTTTTTCTTTTTCTTGTTTTTTTTTTTGACGCATGCAGCACAAACTTTGCTGCGCGAAGGCCTCCAGCTCATCCACATTCCTGTGGTGCAATTCGGTTCTTTGGTCACAACAGCCTGCTTTTTGCCTTTCAGTTGCCGACGAAAAATATCCACTTTCTCGCTTAGTGAAAATTGCTTCCACTTCTTCATCACAAGCAGAGATAAACTCATTTGTAGTAGCACCGCAGCATGAACACCGACTTGCTTTGCGGACGCGATAAGTAATCACCGAAAAGAGATGAACACGACTGGCAAACAAGGCCTCGTAGAGCATATGTAGATGTGAAAAAGAAAGAAAAACCCAAAGCGTCGCAGCCGAGTCTGTATATTAACTCTATGGTTATCGCCTCTTTCAAAGAAAAAAAGTGCTAAAAAAGAAAATTCTTCGCGATTCGTTTTTTGCTCCCTCGCCATTTCGGGTTTTCCACGCCCATGCTTCCTCCTCGGCAACTCCCACTCTGCCTTGCTGACCTTGCCCTCCCATGCTGTCCTCCTCTCGCCTCTGCGCTTGTGAGCCTGCAGCATCAGAATTTGAACGAAAACAAAGTCGTCCTTTGGTTTTGTTTTGTTTTTTTTTCTCTCTCCGCACCGTCGTGAGTTTTCTGAAAAAGCAAGGGGTCCGTTCGCTTTGTTGTCTGCTTGCATGCCACTCTGGTGCTCATGAGGAATTTCAGAACACGAATTCCTTGTACTAAGGTGTTGTTAATATAATGTGGAATTAAATTAACACTCGTTATTTTAAACAGTTCGACATTCTGATGTACGTAGTAGAGAAATAATTTTACAATAAAACTACTAGCAGTCGGGGTGAAATTTTTTAATTTTTAACGCTGGGCTTCAGCTCAATACAAGGAAGTGCCACTTTGCCAGCAGGAGCATCAAAGTATTGGGTCACCTTGTCAGCAAAGATGGCGTTCGACCCGACCCCGACAAGGTTGCTGCCGTAATTAATTTTCCACGTCCGGGCAATCAAAAACAATTGCGAAGTTTCGTGGGCCTGGCGTCTTATTTCCGCCGCTTTATCAGTCACTTTGCTGCCATCGCGGGGCCGTTACACAAGCTTCTGACGTCAGGAACGGCTTTCACTTGGACTGACGAGTGCGAGTGTGCTTTCCAAGCCCTTAAACGTGCTTTGACATCAGACCCTCTCCTCCGTCACTTCGATGAGAGCGCACCCACTTTCCTTCACACAGATGCCAGCGGCCACGGAATCGGTGCCGTCCTTCTCCAGCGTGACGATACTTCACGTGAGCGAGTAGTTGCGTATGCCAGCCGCGCACTAACACCTGCAGAGCAGAACTACTCGATAACAGAGCAGGAATGTCTTGCTGTTGCTTGGGCCATCCAGAAGTTTCGACCTTATCTGTATGGACGCCACTTCACTGTCATTACCGACCACCATGCCCTATGCTGGTTGTCCTCGCTGAAGAATTTGTCTGGGCGACTCGGTCGCTGGATACTCTGTTTGCAAGAGTACACTTTTGACGTTATGTTACAGGTCTAGCAAACAGCATCAGGATGCCAACGCTCTCTCTCGCTGCCCTTTGCCACTTTCATCTACAACCACGCATCCTTGATGCCCCTCAGGTGATCAAGTGGCTTCCTCTGCACTCATGTTATCACCCCTGGCAGTTGCTGGGTCACTATCTTTAAACAGCAGCGCTCAGTTTGCCGCGTGCCAACATGACGACCCATACTGTAACCGCATCATCGGATACTTGAATGACTCGCCTTCTCCACCTAATGCCAGACTACGTCGTCAGCTATGGCAGTTCAAGCTAGACAACAATGTCCTGCAGCGCTATACTTGCAATGCGGATGGGCATCGGTGGGTGCCAGTACTTCCCCGTTCACTGCGAAAACAAGTTCTCGAAGCACTTCACGACGATCTATCAGCTGGACACTTGGGATTTCAGAAGACCTACAACCGCGTTAGGAGCCGTTTCGCCTGGCCTGGTCTTTCTACCTTTGTGGCTAATTATGTCGCTTCTTGTGCACTGTGTCAACGCCGGAAACGACCAACTTCTGCTCCTGCTGGATTATTACAACCCATTCCATGTCCCGATACACCTTTTGTCGTTGTCGGAATAGACCTCGTCGGGCCACTTTCCCTAACACCAGCGGGCCACCGCTGGATCGTCACAGTCGCCGACCACCTCACACGATACGCGGAGACCGCTCCTCTACGCACTAGCTCCGCCTCAGACGTTGCCGCCTTCTTTTTAGAAGCCATTGTGTTGCGTCATGGTGCACCTCGCACGTTGTTGAGTGACCGGGGCAAGGCCTTCATGTCGACAATTCTTGACGAAATTCTAAAAACTTGCGGCACAGTTCATAAGACCATATCCGCTTACCACCCGCAGACAAATGGCCTGACAGAGCGATTCCACCGGACTCTAATCGACATGATACATCGGACCGATGTACATCGGACCGAACCACGATAACTGGGACAAAATCTTGCCGTTCGTAGCGTTTGCACACAACACCGCTGTTCAACGAACCACCGGATATTCACCTTTCTTCCTCGTCTATGGTCGTGCACCGACATTCACTATTGATGCCTCTTTCTTCAATGTAACGACAAAAACGTCCATGACTACGCCAGAAAATTTCGTCTCCAGGCTCGCTGACGCACAGCAACATGCTCAACTCAACACGGAGGCCAGTCAACTAGACCGCAAGCAACGATATGACAGCTTTCTTCGAGATGTCACCTTCCGTCCTGGAGATGAAGTACTACTTTGGACGCCTGTTCGTACACCTGGATTGTGTGAAAAGTTTCAGTCACGCTTTCTTGGACCTTATGTTGTTAGTGAACGAACATCTCCTGTCAATTACCTTGTCACTCCCGTCGAGGGTTCCTCGGACCGTCGTTACCGTGCATCCGAGATAGTTCACGTTTCACGCCTTAAACCTTTTGTTCGCCGTACCTTTCCCGCCTAAGTCTCGGCAGGGTCGGCCGATCAAGTGCGCGGGGAAAATAAGTGTGAGCATCATTACTCGTTCCATCTTTTCATCTGTACATACTCATCATCACCAATCCAGTTTAGCTTGTGGGGCACATACTCAAGACAAAAAGAAGAGTCTTGAGGGTACTGTACGCCATCTTACAATATATATATATATATATATATATATATATTATTATGATATTATTTGACTAAATCACTATTGACATAAAACCTAAATTTTACAAGGGATGCAATGCAGGCTTGTTGGTAACCTACTATAATTTACTGTTTGCACAAGCCCATTTGCCATATAAAAGTGCATGACTGTACCTTCAAGCTCCTCTCGTGCTGCTGCACCCTGGTCAGCTGCTGGTTCAGCTCCTGCCTCAGCTCCTTCACCTGCACTCACACACAGAAACACATGGCTTGCAACATGCAGCTACAAGCAGTGTATACCAGATGAGGCCACTTTAACAGAAGTTGCACACCTCTCTATCACTGTCACTCCGATAAGTATTGCGGTTAAGCCACAAAGTTCTTCTAAAAAGATAGCATCAGAGTCTATGAAACCTGAAATAGCAGAATGACAGATATTCAGATGCTTACCATGTTTGTGATCTTTAATCCTTAAAATGTGTAGCGAAGCAAAGCTGTCACCGATAAAGTGATAACAGCAACTTCGTTATATAAACCAAGTCATGTGGCCACCAAGCGGCTTTTCACTACGAGCTTGCATGGAATAAACAACCAAGTCATGTGGCCACCAAGCGGCTTTTCACTACGAGCTTGCATGAAATAAACAATGTTCAGTTCTGCTCCCGCAATTCAGGAGTGCAACAGCCAAAATAGAGTTTGAAGCAATTTTTGGAGCAGCAAAATGTTACTTTTCGGCCACTAAGATGTTGGAGCAGTATGGGGAAAATTAACATCCATTTATATCACAAAGACCAAATTTGGAGAAGTAAAAGAAGGCTTACATTTAGAAAAAATATCCCTTAAATACTGCAGCATGCGCATGGGCACTGTTATTTAAACAAAAATAGTATTTTGAATCACCCCACTGAGCAGACAGTGATAGAGTAAACATTACAATTTGTCGCATCTGTCAAATCCTTTGACAGACTCTGAAAATTCAAATGTGGATCTGCGAAGCTGGCAATTTTGAAATTCAGGGTATTCGTGAAACTGAAAGATAGAAGTGACGACAAAAAAAAAAAACTAGTGCAGAAGGGTAACAGCAATGTCCTAAACTGCTCCATATGGTTATCAGTAAATTTTTTCAGTCGTCAGCAATTGTAATAGTGCTCACAAATAATTATGCAGTATATACACGAATGCCTAATTGAATATGTGCAGTGTCCCGTGACCCATGCTAAACAGCCCCTTCTAAATCATACTAGGCTTTCCCGCGGAGCACTGGTGTACTGCGACAAAAATGGCTTAAGCAGCATTCTGCACAGGTTAGAATAAGGCCATGAAAGCTCTGAACAGCGCTGCACTCGTCTTATCCCCCACAGCTTTTTTTTTTCTCACGATAAGGTTAGGTTTAGGGCACAACTTCTCAGCTTGCTTACTAGGCGCGTTGTATCCCGGCATATCTATCATCGAAGCGATGCAGCTAAAGCAACATCGACCGAAAAATGTTTTACGCGATGCTGTTATCCGACCAATCGACCAATATGGCCGCCGGCAACGCCAGCATTTCCAGCACGTCGACTCAGTCTGCACGCAAAGAACACGGCATGCACTTCCAGCTCTGGTCGCAGACATGCAATAGCTGCGTTTGCTGGCTAGGAAGTTCATATTTTCCGCAAAGCGTTGGTGGCTATGGCAACGCAATTTGGTCTTGAAGTTGGGTCCTCCCACCGATAAGTATCCACTGTGGTCAGCCGACCAATGAGCGCGCGGCATTGTTACTTATCTGGTCGATCACATCTCGCAAGTTCCCTGACCTAATTGAAATATATCTTGCACAGTTATTTCAGGTTAGGGTCTGCCCACTTGGATTAATTGATGGCGTAAGCTGCAGGTGGCCAACGTGGCCTCTATTCCTCGCTGAAATTAGCGCAACTGAGAACATTTCGAGCATGGTCAGGCATTTTGGCGCAGTGTAGCGCAATTTCAGCAATTTTCATCATGATTTTTGCGCAGCTTGGCACCGCAACGAGAAAGTGTATTAAATTGGCGCAATTGGCACAGCTGTTGCACCCCTGCGCATTATGCTTTTAACTGTGGTTTCCAACCTCGATGACACACGACATTGTCAACGAAGATGGGATCCTGACCAGTTATGCGGCAAGCTGACATGGCAATTGATTATCCATCGACGGCGAGGCAGCGATGCAAGTCGTGGGTCGACTGGGACACATCGAGCGGTTCAACGACTCTACCAGTGACTGGTCGTCATACAAAGAACGCTTGTCATCATTTCATCAGGTCAATTGCATTCTCGAGGACGACAAGGTAAATGTTTTTTTGAGCCTCATAGGCCCAAGAACATACAGTCTACCGTATTTACAGTACTTATTCGAATCTAAGCCGATAGTTATTTTTCAAATTTCTTTGCATCAATTTTCAGAGTTGGCTTAGATTATAGGATTTTGAAAAACACGTCATTTTTTTATTGAGAAAAGTGGTGCACAACTAGTGCCACTTACAGGCGTTATAGCGGTTAGTAGCTAAGCAACAGCTGGCTTAAGTACACATATAAACCGCTATTTTGATCTTTGCGAGTGTTGAGTCGACCAGTTTGTCAACTCGAGTCACACTTTCAATGGTCTGTGTGTAGCGCAGCTCAATGGCGCGAAACAGGCGGTGTCATTATAGTGTCGCTTATAAAAAGAAAGTTTTCCCAGGCTACAGCGTGGTACAACAACTCAGGAACTTTGAATGTGCACTCCTTTAAGAAATGCGTCATATGCAGTGCGCTCTATGGCACCAAGGATCGCACATTGTTTGATGACAACAACAGGGAAGTCAGCGACGAGCGAAGCAGCGACGACGCTAAATGAGCACGGCATGGACAAGCGCGGCATCTTTGTGATGCAAATAACTAGAAGCAGCTTCAAGAAAAGAAGTTGTTATTATTTATTTCATTTGAATCTTTCTAGATTTTTGTACTCACAGACAATACGAATTTTTTCACTCACAATCAATGATGCTGACACCAAAACTTCTGTAGAACAAACTCTTGAACAAACCAAATGTGGAGACCATTGAACCAAACCATCCGTTATGCGTACCTTGGTGGCATGCGAGAGGGCATGCTGGCGCTCGGCTTCGAGGTCTCTCTCTCGCTCGGCTAGCAGGCGGCGCAGGTGTGCCTCAGGGTCTGGGCCACGCTTGCGCCACTCACCTCCGGGCTGCCCTGCCCGGTTGAGCAGCTCTTCAACCAACTGCTCCAGCTCCTCCTGCTCGGCTGTGAAGCGGCTGCTCCCTCGCACCAAGCAGAGCAGCTCCCGGGCACACACCTCCCGAGACACTACACCAACCGCATCCCCTGGCAGCACAATATTCACTCCTCTGTGAATTCACAGTAACACAATCTGCGCATAATTCCATGCAGCCTCCTCCTCCTTATCATTTAGCACAGTGTAAAACATTGGTACGCTGAGAAACACTTGGCAAGTTTGTGTAAGTTCATGGGTGAAAATGGTGTACAACACTAAACAAAAATGCAGCATATACACAACGATGGGCGCTGGAATCTCAACTAATCTTTATTCACATCGACTCACACATATATACAGGCACGTCAAGAATCCGAAGGCGGTCAACAATTGCATAAGGCACGAGTACCCTTCCAGAGTGAAGCGCAGCGATCAGAGTAAACTCCCCTTGGTTGGCATCCAGTCTCTGTCTCGGCCGCAGCGCACGAAATCGATGCGCACTTGTCTCAGTGCCACATTGGACAAGAATTGGTGGAACTTGCACCTATTGGCCTCCGTTTCACTGACCAAGACTACACAGGGCAAAATATTGACGCTATAAAAACTAATTCAAAATCAAACAAATCCTTTGCCCTTTGATAAGTGTATTTCTTGTATTCGCGAGCACATACGCACACCCTATTCTAGACTTCGCTAGCTCCTTTCACAGCTATGCTAGATAAGAGTAAGTGCACGACGCGAGCAGACGATCAAACAAGAGATGTACAAGCTGCCATTTTTTGTGTTTTGGTGCTTCACGCCATCAAAACTAGCCAGAGTGCTGAGTGAAGTCTCCAGGATTAGTACTGTAGCCCGACGTTAAGTTAGTGGCAATGTCAGTAGGTGCACTGGGAGAAAATTGACTTTAACATCAAAATAAAATATCTCATCAGGATTTTCTGAGCGTCACAATTGCTCAGAGCCTTCTCTTTATACAGGAGATTGGTATGGCAGAGTAAACACGTCTCTGAAAAAAGGTGTCAGTACTCCTTTAATAATGTGCATTATTATCTTGGGAGTTGTCTGTTTATTACTCCTAGCAACGATGTGTTTTTTTTTCGAATTGAAGGACACAGCCACATTCTGCAAAGCGTGCTGGTATGTGAAAGGCCATCCGTGTGACAATTGGCTTCGTGTTCCCTCAAACTGACATTGATGCACCTACATGTCTGTCTAATGAACGCAGTGTTACAAGATAACATAGGCTTGTTCGCCAACCCTGTGGCGCAGTCAGTGGATGTGAATCGGTGGTTGACGCCGCATTCTGCGATCTTCTTCTCATTTGTTTCTTTTGCTTCTTTACTTACACAGGCACATATTTGTGGCAGCTGATTAGGCACTGAAAAAACTACCTTCACACCAAATTGGCCTGCCACCAGTGTGACATCTTACGTGCATACGGTAGTACAGCTATTTTCTTATTACTTTTCTTATTTTCGTTCTTCTTGTCTCCGTTCCTAACAGACTTTAGTGATTTGATAAGTTCTCACAAGTTCTGGTTACTACATGTACTGGGAAATCAGTACACACCAATTCACCTACTTGTCTAAAAACGTCTAATTCTATGACAACATGTCTTCTGGACAGCTGTCCTCAAGTAACAAGTGGCTATTCTATCATTCACTGTTTTGGAATGGGCTGGTGAGTAGCACATATCTAGCCTTTTTTGTTGGAGAAAGGGGGGGGGGGGGGGGAGCATTGCATTTTAGAGTTGATGACAAAAAGGGTTCCTTCGCGAACCTTCCTGAATAGATGTTTACGGAAAACGCACCGGCAGCTGCCAACAAGACTTTCCATGCCGTTACAGGCAAATTAGGGAATAATAAAAAGGAAGCTTCAAGGTTTTCTTCAAGAGGCTAAGCTGAAGCATTAAGTTTTGCGGACACGCATAATGCAGCGATACTAGATCTACCTTTTTTTTGTCATTGACACCTAGAGGCATTTCAGAGAAAACCAGCGCAATCACCGATTGACAAAGTACTTGTAAAGCAGCTACCGCCTGTGAAAAAAAAAAAACAGCACACCTGAAGGAAACCTTGCGAAGTGTGCTGCTCACTACCCACGCCGCTGCCATCAGCACCCCTAGTGGCATCGGCACGCTGAAGGGCCTTCTCCGGCAAGCGAAAAGCCCCACGCTCATCACACCTCCCCATTTTAGCCACCCTAGCTGCGTGAAGAAAACCATTACCTACTGAGCGACGTAGCTTTAGCTTCAGATCGTCTGCGGCTCAAAAGCGAGCCAGTGGCAAAAGCCACATTTGGCAGTAGCTGTTGCGGCTGGCGTGCATCATCTAAGACTGTCTGTTTGTACTTTGAGGCGCAGTAGTTACGCGACTCTGAATTCAGCGCATCACCTACTGCTGACCCACGGACGCTTGAGTGACCTGCTGTGACTCGTGCTACTGATTCATCGATATCCACTGATGCGTCTGCGCACAGCACAGCGCACAGTATCTGTAAAAGCATATAAAGGCGTCTTCGGCACCTTCTCCGAACATTTGGCAATAGCTGTTGCAGCTGGCGTGCATCATCTAAGACTGTCTGCTTGTACTTTCAGGTTGGTTACCTGTACCTTCTTCCTCAGTTGATTCAAGCTACATTAGCCGCAACTGCTGCCAATTTATTGCTCATTTTTGACTTGCGTCTCCACATCTGTTCTACGTCAGGCCGTCTTTGTGCAATGAACTTGCAAAAAAAATTCAACAATAAGAACAACATTTCAATGTGAAGATAGATCCGCCGATTTTAGAAATCACCTCTAAGATCAAGCTGAAATTAACCGCTTTCGGTTTGTCTGATAATGCCTCACTCAGTGAAAGCATTGACTTCTTGAGCACCCAGTTTGATAACTTCACAGCCCAGCAGGACGAACTAATGGCATCGAGCAAGGCCTTACTGGCCCGGAACGAAATGCCTGAAAAACGTGTTTCTGATCTTGAGCAATATTCGAGACTGAATAACGTTGAAGTGAAAGGTGTGCTCAAAACAAAAGGCTGCCGTGCGATTTTGAAGCGTATGGCCAATGTCATCGTATGTTCTGTATCCGAATCTGATACTGAGACTGTTCATCGTGTGCCGTCCAAATCATCTGAACAAAACCTGATTGCTCGCTTTGTATCTAGGGACAAGAAGAATGAATTTGTAAAGAAGGCTCGAAAGGCGCGTCTTCGTGCGAGTCAGCTTGGTTTTTCCAGAACTAACGACATGTCAATGTATGTGAATGACCATTTTACAATCGGCAACAAAATGCTGTTTGCAAAAGCATTTGCTTTGAAGAGGGCAAAAAGGTGGCAGTATCTTTGGACGGAGAACTGTCAAATCGAAGCACGAAAAGCCAGCGATACAAGGGTATTCCGAATCGCAGCACAGTCTGATCTGCACGTAATCACTTAAGGGTTTTGTTGTACTGTTTTCTTGAGACGCGTGCCGGTGTGCGTCTTCATTGTTATGTCTCTGCTGGATCCACGCGATATTCGCCCAATACTAAAATCCTATCGTCATTCCTTGGTCCATTTCAACGCCCGAAGTTCAAGGAATAATCACGAATGCTTGCAAAACTTCCTATCTTCTCTTGATCATCCGTTTTCTTTCATTTGTGTATCCAAGACCTGGCTTTCTAGTGATGACTGTAACATGTATGGCTTTGTTTCTAAAACTGCTGAATATTGTCATCGTTTAAACAATAGACATGGTGGTGCTGTCATATTTGTTTCCCCCCGACATCAGCTATACTCGAAGAAACGATTTAAGCTTCCAAATAGATTGCTGTGAAACGGTGTGGGTCGAAACTAATGAGCCCCTCCAGTCATACAATTCTAAAGGTCTTGTTCTTGGCTGTGTTTACAGATCACCCACCTCTAACATATCAGATTTCTTTCTCGCTCTCAATAATGTGCTTAACAAGCTGTTATTTGAAAATAAGAGTGTGATGATAGTGGGAGACAAAAACATTAATCTCCTGGAAGACAATTCTAGCGTATACACAGCTTACACTGACTGCTTCAGTGGGTATGGTCCTGAATGTCTCATCACATCGCTAACTCGATGCTCTGATGAAAGATCCTATTCTCTTATCGATCATGTTCTAACTAACATCAACCTACCAATTGCTGCAGGCGTTATCAATACTGACCTCACGGATCACTTTCCTATTTTTACAATTTTCGATGCCCATTTCTCTAAAGTTGGCGCCTCATATTTCACCTCAGCGTTCGATACAGATGAATTCATTTCTACAATTCGCTCCACCGACTGGTCTCCTCTCGATTTAATTCATGAGCCTATGGAGGCTTTTAAGTTTTTTTGCGATGTTTTCACGAAGGTAGTTTCTACAACCTCTAGATTTGTACGCTGTAAAAATCGATTTAGGGACCCGAAAAACCCGTGGATGACCAATGGTTTACTAAAGAGCTTGAGAAAAAACGATAATTTGTATAAAAAGAAACAAAAGACAGCTTTTCAATATTTCTCTGCCTAATAGGTACAAGAGCTATTGCAAAATTCTCACTAGCACTCTCCGGGAAGCCAAAAGGTGATACTACGAAGTGCAATTTGTGCAGAATAAAGGTAACCCTAGAAAGCAATGACGATTGCTGAATTAATTTATGAACCGTAACTCGCCAAAGATTATATCTGCAATTGAACACGACAACATTACTTAAGCCAGCCTGCCGAGATTGCTAGCGCGTTTTCCGATCATTTCGCATTATCTCAGGGCAGTCAGCTGTCAAATTTTCAACCTAAATAAATCGCTAGTGTCATTTATTTTATCTTTTCCCGGTTACGCCAAGTGAAGTGATATCCACTATTCGCAACGCTCGAAACACTAGCCCTGGATTAAATGGTATTTCAATACACCACTTAAAATTGGTTGCTGACATTGTTTGCGAACCCCTATGTGCAATATTCATTTAATCTTCAAAACTGGTGAATTTCTGCAAGTATTAAAACGAGCTAAGGTAATCCCAGTTTTTAGGAAAGGTAATAAAGAGCTGCTCTCCTACTATCGTCCCATTTCGATTCTCCCTTCCCTAAGTAAAATAATTGAAAAGTTATTTGTGTCCAGACTAAC